CTGTCAATCAGTAGTGGGGACCTGATGGAGAACTGCAGCCGAGGGCGGGTGCAATGCTAGTTTGCTATTGGCTATTGCAAATTGAAATAGCCAATAGGAATCTAGCAATGCATTCTTACGGCCAAAAATTATTATTTTTTCTATTCTGACACGGCTCCGTGTCAGAATAAAAAAAAAAGAGAAAGCAGTGTTACTCTCCTTGGTGGCCGGGAGCGGGAGACTCCCGGAGCGCCCAGGAGAGTTTGCTGTCTGGAGATCAGTGTCCCTGGTTAGCAGGTAACCAGGGACGCAGATCTCTCTGCAAGTGGCCGGAGCCAGCCGTAAGATCACAGCTGGCTCCGCCCAGCTGTCAGAAGCAGGCTGTCGGCCGGCCGCTCGGCCAGCTTCAGCTTTCAGCGTGGCTCAGACAAGCCGAGGCATATGCCTTTGGCTCGACTGAGCCGCTCGGCCAAGTTCGGGTAGCTGTACGGGCTACAGTGAAGGCGTCCTGGGGCTGAAGCTAGCCGAAGGATCGGCCGAAGCTACGGCTAGATCCTTCAGCTGCCTCGTGAATAGACCCTATAATGTCTGATGAGGCTTAAAGTGATGAGTGAGTGATGAGGCTTAACTCAGGCACAACTGAGCAATGGCCAGTCCCATTCAGAGGATGTAAAGTAGCCAGAAGAGAAGGCTAGGAAGCAGGCCTGGCAATGCTAGCTGCACGGGCACAGTAGACGAATAGACACTCTACAATTACCAAAGAGGCTTTAATATAAATTAAACCAGTTTCAAGAGAAAGGAGGAGCCATTGCTGATGTTCTGACATTGCTAGTTGCCTGACAGTCATGCGAATCCTCTGGTTACAGTACTTTCTAAGACTCTAACATGGAAAATGCATGCTGCCAGAGAAGTCAGGGCGAAGTCAGGGCTAAGTCAGAATTCTTCTTATTTATATGCTTGTTTCAGGTCATTGACTCAAAAAACACTTAAACTATTAGGACTAGTTCACACCAGCCACAGTGCGTTCCAGCCACGCCCTCCAGCTGCAATGCGATCACCTGCACCCAAACGCGTGGCACATCAGTGCCTGCGTTCTGCTGCAGTCAGAAAAACTGCAGCAAGCACAATTTTTTCTGATTGCACTGGACCGGAATGCAAGCACTTGTAGGCAGTTGACAGTTACAGGGCAGCCTAGCTGGCTGCAGGATGAAGTGGGTTAGCAAGTGTATATAAATACTTCCAGCCGATTTGATATGTTTATGTGTAAATATGTTCAGAACTGTTTAGCATCTATAATTGTCTCCAGCACCATTTTGGAGAAGCCTGGTGTCCTGATAGGACAGGAATTCCCGGGAGATTTGGTTGGCCATTTTGGGGTGGTTATCTTATATAGGAAAGCCCAGCCGCGTTTTGGGTAGAACACGTGTGGATGTAGACAGGGACAGATACCCCGCTTGTGAGGGAGAGTTAGGAGAGTTCAGGGAGAGTGTTCCGGCCTGTGAAGGATAGTTCAGGGTTCCTACGGAGTCCTGCATCGGCAATCCTGGTCGGATGAAAGACTCCCGGTTGCTTATAGCCAAACCGGTGTCCTCGCTGTGAGTGCGGGAAGAGTGTTCCAGACTCATATCTCCCTGTACGAAACGAATACCGCTGCTTCCGGGTAACGTGTTATCAGCCTTTACAGATACGCATTGTGTGCTTGGGTTTATACTGTGCCAGTCAGTGGGAAGTGACTATAGTGCTAACGAATACAACTACCGCTTATGTCAGAAGTGACTGTACTGTGTACCTGTGCCTCCATGCCTGGAGTGAAACTGCTTGCCTTACTGTTGTAAATATTCTTCCTACTACCGTCTCTCCGGTAATAAACGTTACCTTGTTTATAAGACCAGTACGTGTGATTCCCTCTGTGAAGCCGCCACACCCTAATCCCGCTTACACACTGATGTGCCACTCATTCATGTAATGGCGATCGCATTGCAGTCGGAGGGCGTGGCTGCGCTGCCATTGACTTCAATGCACCATCATGCCCGCTCCAAAACTTCTTGCCACCAAGAACGAACAAGAATTTCACAATAGCCACCCACACCCCAGCCACCCCGATTATGACCTACCAGTAATAAGGGCCCATTCCCTTATTTGTGGTTTTACTATTGTGCTTTTATTACATGCGGTACAATGAATTACTTTGGACGATGTACTCACAGGGAATGCTACACCTAAAATGCAGCAAGCCGGATTTTTAAAAACACCACACTAAAATGCATAGATGTAAACTTTGCATCTACTGTCACTCTAACCCTTAACCAGTCCCCCCTTAACTTTAGCATAGCACCTACCTCCAAAAAGTAACAATTAACATCCCGCTAATAATGAAATGTAGCCCCTAATCTAACTCTGTACAACCCTAACAGTGAACCTTATCCTAAACGTAACCCCAGCTTTCCTCTTAACCTTAACCTAACATATAACACTTATGGAGAGATATAAAAGGCCAAATCTATAATCGTTCAACAAAAAATTCCTTTTAAATAGCTCCTAAATCTATCCCCATATTACCATATGGTAACTCCTAGTACAGCAAGACTTGCATAGGGAGAGAAAAAGGCAGTAAAATAAGCCAGAAAGGCCCTATTGCGATAAAAAATTTAGCCGGTATGTGTTCGCTCACCTCTCGATCCCGTCACGGCTCTCTGCCATGACAGGGGAGGGGCTGGATTCCCCCCTCCGATCCGCCAGCGCTGACTGGTGGAACGGACGGGGGAGGGGGCGGGTACAGCTGGCCCTGCCTCTAGATAGGCAGAGCCAGCTGTCAGTCACGCAGCTAGGCGGATCCCGGCATAATTGTCGGGATCAGCTTCAGCTGCGGCGTCTCAGTATACCGCGAGCAGGAGCTCGCGGTATACTGTGGCGTCTTAGTATACCGCAAGCTACTGCTCGCGTTATACTGAGCCTAGGGTGATGGGAGGACGCTAGTTTGTGTCCTCCCATTACCCTAAGGAGAACTATGGGGAAAAGCCTGAACCCCATAGTTCTCATTTAAGAGCAGACATCATTATGATGTCATCAGTCTGCTGCTGCTTCACTATCCAATCACAGGCTTGGGAAGGCCCATGACCACGCTGTACCGCTTTAACTGAATTGGAAAAAAGTGATATTAGGGACCTGGCTGTGCTATTTGGTAGGAGTGAGTGAAACCTTGGAGCTGAAGAGGATTAGAAATCAATAATTTTAACAGAACTAATCCTGTATCAGGCCCAAGCTGACTTAAATCAGTCTATTGTCTATAAAACTTTGTCACGCCCGGAGAGTAGCAATTAAACATAACAAAACAACAACATTTTAAGGATTATAGGTTATAACAAGGTGTCACTGTAATAGTACAAAGGGGAAATCTTCCCAAATGGGATATAGACAGCAAAAAAAACCCTCTTGACAGATGTTCAGACCATTCCAAAAATAAAACAAAAAAGTAGTTGTGCTTTAAGATCCAAAAAAACACGGGTTATGCAAAACAAGCCCTACAACTGACAATAATAGATATTGGAATATGGCATATAGCATAGATAACAGGGCTCAACACACTGACTCCTTCAAATAATAAAGGTTAACATACAACTTTCAATAATCCACAGAAAACCAGAAGTATCCTACCTATCAGTAAACTGTCCTCGGTAAAATTATATCTGATTGGTGTATAGTATAGGCCATTATCTGATGACCTTTCAGGACTAGGAATAGGCAGCATATGGCCCTGAATTGCAATTCTCAATATACAGTACCTAGCCTGCAAATGCCAGGGCTTCCCAGCAAGTGGAGTCCGACTGGTGGCTAATACTATATTGTATTAGACCAATATTGTATATATACCATTTTGTATTAGATTTTTATATTTTGTTGTTGTTTATAAAACATAATATGAATATGTCATACATATGTAAATGCTGAAATGACATACTTTGTGCTCCCAACTGATATGACAAAACACATATTGAACATATAAACATACTAGAAAGAGACTGATGTCTTCAAATGCTTCATATTGCAACAATAAGAACATCCAGTTAAACAGATTTTATACAGTTAATTGTCAATACATATGCCAGCTACTGGATCGCTGATACCAACCATATGATAGAATTGTAAATTTTGTCAAATCATCATAAATAGCAGAATTCAGTCTTTATGTCTGCTGCAAAATCATAATATCATAATTGTATTAGCAAAATTTCTGCTTAAATTACAGTTCCTCTTGATATCTAAATTATGTGTCAACATTTCAAACTTGGATTTGACAGTGCAATGTATTATATTGTGATATTAATATTTATAATGTTATATGATATTTATATATGATTTCTTAAAATTATAAGCTATATGTAAATCCCCACCTACTTCATGATTCCGGGAAATATGAGAACACCCTTCTTATGGCCCCTCCCACTGTCTTCAGAAACCCCTTTCCCTATTGCTCCTCCCACTATTACCTTTCTGCTCAAAACCGCAATCCATCACATCACAGATGAAGGTGTATTGTACGATATTACCTGTCCTTATATTGTCAGACTTCACTGTGTGTCTGTGATTCCTCTGTAAAGGGTTACATTGCTCTCAACACAATTTGAATTTCAGTTAAATTCGACTATTTATTTAAATGCAATAAGAGAAAAAGAGCTAATAACGTTAAAGTTATTTAATCCAGATGACTAGTTTTAAAATTAGAGATCACTGTAGAAATAAAACCCTGCATTACGGGTACTTGTAAATGCTTGGTTAGTGGCTAAATCTGTTGTAGAACTACAAGGCACAGCATGCAGTGAATCCTGGGACCCGTAGAAAAGTGGAGCTTTAAAAGATGGAATTTAAAAAAAAAAAAGCCTTGTGCTGCTCTACTGGCATTAGTCATTAGGGTTTTACAGCCTGGAGATACAAACTGTTCTATTAAAAAGTTTAGTTATAATATAAAAGTGTGCAAAAAAAGTTACATTAAGGTGACAGCATTGTACTTTATCTGTTATTACCTTGGTAAGATGATGTCCTGCCATTATCTGGGAAGAGGATACTGGTATCAGTTCCAGTGCCAGGTTCTGGAGGTATTTTGATTGGTACCTGCCCAGTCTGTTGTGCTGTGCCACCCCCTAGAAGTAGAAAAACCTGCAGCAGGGTGAGCGGGAGGTCTCCCCGCAGCATCTTCATAGTGTTCCCCTGTATCCCAGGCAGGAAGGGAGGCAAAGTTTCAGTGAGTGCCTAACGAGCGAATGCTGAGCTAGAAGGGAGCGAGAGCTCACAGACAAGTTCCAGGGAGGGGGGAATGCTGAGCTCACAGGGAAAAGGGGAATGCTGCTGCTTCTGCAGAGGGGGAGTGCATGAAAAGGGTGGAGTGACACAAATGGAGGGGATGATTTTAGTGGAAAGGAGGGCTTTTCCTAGGAGTTGTATTCCTATATCCTTGATTTTGACAAAACAAAAAGTTCTCAGGTCAAAATTCAATGAGAGAAAAGGAACTCTAGAACCATATTTGAGGTGATGCTGACAGTGTATTCCTCTACTGATGTCTGGTTCGATCCCATCAAAATTATCACAGCAACATCAAAAATATATTGTAATAACTGTAGCTGAACATGTTTATGCAAGTCTTGAGTGCAACAAAAGATATATATATACTGTATTTTGTTCAATGTGAAAAATGTAAATGATAAAAAATAGTTTAAGGACTCACGGGCAGCTGAACCCATACAACGTAAAATCTGGTGTATATCCACTGCCAGGGAGCCACAGGTGCTGCGTACAGCCTCCCATAGAAGTCATTGGCTGTACCTGGCTGTAGACTGCTATACGCTGGATTTGCATAAACATGCGCATTCTATTGGGTGCACAGTCCCGAATGCAGACAGGCTGTGGGTCTATGCATGCCTGCGTTTAAACAAGTCCAGTGTATACCAGTGTACAGCCATTGACTTCTGGTGGGGGGGGGAAATTGCAGGAATATATGTTGTGTGGGTTCAGCCGCCCATGTGCATGAGCCCCCAATGCCCCATTATAACCAATGTGTGTTTATAGATATACAATTGATTGTCAGCAGTAAACTGCAGTCATTCCCTTTAAAGTATACTTAACACAAAACTTTTTCTTTTTAGCTTTGGATAAAGTAGGGAAGGGTTAAATCCCCTGTCATTTTTTATTTCTCTTTAACTGAAACAGCTATGCCCATTGGAAAACCTCCAATCCTGTGCTGATGATAATAACTCAACATTTTGGATCTTTCTCTTTGGATCTTTCAGTGCTGGTGACATTGGTCCTAAGAAAAAATAAAGAGGGAAATCTCTACCTGCAGGAAGGTTGACCACAATAAAAACCTTACAGAGTTGTCAACCCTTCCCTGCCCTATCCAAAACCAAAAGTTTTGACTTCAATGTAATATAATTTAAGGCAGAACTCCAGACAATAATTTTTTAAAATGCAATTTAATGCTGTCATGTATTAAAGTAATAAAAGAATAAGGGGTCTATTCACGAAGCTGCCGAAGGATCTAGCCATAGCTTCGGCCGATCCTTCGGCTAGCTTCGGCCCCAGGACCCCTTCGGTTCAGTAGAACAGCTCCCGAACGTACAGCTCCCGAACGGCTCAGTCGAGCCGAACGCATATGGCCGGCCCACAGCCTGCTTCTGGCAGCTGGGCGGAGCCAGCCGTGATCTTACGGCTGGCTCCGGCCACTTGCAGAGAGATCAGCGTCCCTGGTTACCTGCTAACCAGGGACACTGATCTCCAAACAGCAAACTCTCCCTGGCGCCTCGGGAGTCTCCTGCTCCCGGCCGCCAAGGAGAGAAACAGCGCTGTTTCTTTTTTTTTCTATTTATTCTGACACGGAGCGATGTCAGAATAGAAAAAAAAAGAAATTCCCATTGGAATGCATTGCTACATTCCTATTGGCTATTTCAATTTGCAATAGCCAATAGTAAACTAGCATTGTACCCGCCCTCTGCTGCTGTTCTTCATCAGGTCCATCAGCAGAGGGCGGGTACAATGCTAGTTTACTATTGGCTATTGCAAATTGAAATAGCCAATAGTAATGTAGCAATGCATTCCAATGGGAAAATGTTTTTATTTTTTTTTCTATTCTGACATCGCTCCTTGTCACAATAAAGAAAAAAAAAAGAAAAAGCAGTGTTTCACCCCTGGGCAGCCGGAAGCGGGAGTCTCCCAGAGCGCCCGGGAGAGGTTTTTTTTCATTTTTTTTTTTACGGCAGCAGAGCCGCCGGACAATAGGAAACTATTGGGCGGAGCTAGCTGTCACTGCTAGGTCCGCACAATCGGTTTCTATTTACTTTTTAAAAACTTTTTAAACCATTTTTCTGTTCTGCTCGGTCCCTCTCCGCTCAGCGGCATTCGGCTATTCACTCACTGCTGTTCGGCATCTATAAGAATAGACCGAACAGCAGTGAGTAGCCTGTTGGATCGGCTGAGTCGAACTCCTTCTGCACTTCGGGTTGGCCGAACATGCTGAGCATGTTCGGCCGACCCGAAGCCATGTGAAGCAAGCCGATGTACGGCTGATTTCAGCCGATGTACGGCTGAAATCAGCCGTACCAGCCTGTAGTGTTCGGCTCACTTCACTTGGGGTCGGTTGTTCATTCGGCTGCCCTCGGCAGCTTAGTGAATAGACCCGTAAGTGTACTTTATAACAAAGCTCACTTAACTTGTTGCTCTCTTCCCTGACCTAACAGATCCCACCCTCCCCCTCCACAGATTTATACTTATTGCCATATGATGCCCGACTCCTCTGGCGATCGTTTAGATCCTGCGCCACAAGCCCTCTTTCTCTTGGTTGTGCCAGCACAGTAGAGCCCTGTAGGGTTCTCCTACCCCAATCTGCCAGCCAGGAGGCGAGCCCCATAGACCTCTATGGTGCTCTACCACCAAAAATGGCCAGGATAAAGAGGACTTGCGGCGCTGATGTAAACAAACATAAAAGGCTGTAGAAGTTGGACCCCGGTAAGTATGCATCTGTGGAGGCGGGGGGCAGGATCTGTTAGCTCAGGAGAGGGGTGGGCAAATAGGATAAGTGCACTTTTTCAGAAAGTGCACTTATTGTTTATGTATTTAAAACTAGAATTTATACCTGAATAAGTCTTTATATCAGCCCCTTTGGAAATTAATCAATAATCCCTGGAACAGCAACACTCTTGGCCAATCATGGCTTTGTTTCTTTGCATAGCCTTACATTGAACAAGCTTACAGTGGAGGAAAACACAATGGTGACTTCAGTACTGTACTGCTGCTCCTTCATTGTCCAATCATGAGCTGGGGAGAAATGGTGACTAAGGACTAGGGAAACAGAATGTCAGCAGTCATTTTCTCCTAGAGTCATTCACCAGGAGTACTGTTGCCTTGGCACTTTGAGGATGTTTACTATAGGAGCAAGAGGCATATACTGTACATGAGATCCAAAGATTGTGATTTTAATGATGCCTAGAGTTCCACATTTATGTTTGTGTGACTGTAATAAAAAGGATGATAACTGGGAAATAAACATCAGATCTGGACACAACCTGTGCATGGTGATACTGATTCATTATCATATGTGTCAGCCAATATTAGCATCCAAGTTCAACAGGTATTATAAAAAAAACTGGTGTGTGACTACATACATTAACAGATGAAGACTTTGTACACCATAGTGTCAAATAAGATAAAGCCTTGGGAGCCATTTTTCACATTTATCCCACATCTATTAGGGCTTGTTCACACCGAAAGCGTGAGCGTTCCAGAGCGGTAGCTGCTGGAACGCACCGCGATTGCTGTGAAACTTCTCCCCGTGTTTTGGGGCGGGACGGGGCGTGGCGGTGCATTGTATTCAATAGCACCGCTTCCACACCCAACCTGCCCACAGTGCGATCGAACGCCTGTCAAAACTTTGCCAGCATTGCGTTTAACTGCAAACGCCAAAAATAGGGCATGCCCTATTTTTGGCGTTTGCAGTGGATTGCAACGTTGGCAAAGTTTTGACAGGCGTTCGATCGCACTGCGGCCGTGGGGCGTGGAAGCGGTGCCATTGAATACAATGCACCGCCACGCCCCCTCCCGCCTCAAAACGCGGGGAGAAGTTCCACCAGCTACCGCATTGGAACGCACACGCTTTCGGTGTGAACAAGGCCTTAGTGTGAGCAGATCACTCACCAAACACAAAAGGTAGTAAGAACTCTACCTGTGCTCCCCCAAATCACTGACCCATAAATACCAGCCACCATTTTTAGCTGACTTTATAATATGATGCACCTGTAGCAAAATGATTATTCCATTTTCTGTAGAGAAAAGAAAATGGTGATCTGACATGGAGACTTTTCAATATGCTGACACAATTAAGCATATATTATTGTTTCCTACAAAGCCTGATCACTAAAAGCAATGGTGCAACCTGCTTCATCAGAAATGTCATTGGAAATTGATAATACCCAGCAGCTTCATAATATAAAGAAGTATGAGTCTTGATGATAAATAAAGTGGAACCTTGTGGACTGCCTTACAGACAGAATAATTGTTTTGCGGGCAGATTTCACTATTTTCAGGATCTCTATCAACTGCACAAATATTACATAGTTACATAGTTACATAGTATTTGAGGTTGAATAAAGACATAAGTCCATCAAGTCCAACCTATTGTGTGTGTGTATAGGTCACTGAGTGTTCTCATTCTTAAGAGTACCTGTACCCTTGTACATTACGGTCTCTCGGGAAATCGTCCAAAAGCTTCTTGAATGATTCCACACTATTTGCTGAAATCACTGCTTGAGGCAGCGAGTTCCAGACCCTAACCGCGCGGACTGAGAAGAACCCCCTTCGCCCCTTGTGTTTGAATTTTTTTTCTACCTGCTTTAGGTGGTGGCCTCTAGTCTTTGTTACGCAATTAATCTTAAAGAGTTTGTTGCTAATGTTGCTATGACTATTGGACATTTTGTACATGAAAATCATGTCCCCCCTTGATCTCCTTACTTCCAACGTAAACATATTTAAATTTAGTAGCCTTGTCTCATACTTCTGGTCCTCCATCCCCTTGATGAGTTTGGTCGCCCTTCGCTGGACTTTCTCCAGCTCAAGGACATCCTTTCTGTGTACCGGTGCCCAATACTGCACCGCATACTCCAGGTGAGGTCGAACCATTGATGTGTAAAGTGGCAACATTATAGAGTTGTCTCTGCAAAACATTCCCTTTTTGATGCAGGACAGGATTCTACTAGCTTTGCTTACAGCAACCTGGCACTGTAATCTATTATTCAGTTTGTGGTCTACAATGACCCCCAAATCTTTCTCCATTTCCGACTTCCCTAGCGGCATAGTTGCCCACTCCCCTATTTTAT